TGATCTTTGGTTCAGTTTGACCCTTGGATTTACTGTATCAGGCTATAACATTTCCTTGCGGAATGTTTTCAATTGTTTTCTTTATTACTGCTGCAATAGCAGAGGAATTTGCAGGTCTTTTACAGGACACCTGTTCTGTTCTACTACATGCAGCTCCAAAGGTCAACAATCTTATCCAGACTGGAACATGAGAGAGTGTGATGGCACTGCAAAGCCACTCCCATATTGAAGGTGTTTGTACCGTGAGGGGCATCCTGGGATCAGACTCCGCAGTTTTAGCCTCCTCATCCCTTTCTGATGCCTGAGATGGGGATTTTTCCATTTAACAGGTATTTCAGTTGAAGTGGTGTGAGAAAGTTTAATCATTGTCCCTGGCAAACGATTGAACTGAGAGGAAGCTGGGAACTTCCAACAATCTTCAAAAGAAAAGGCCTGTGAAACAGATGTTGTTGGCTCTGTGGAAATCAGGATGTTCGGTTTATTGCAGCAGCCATTAACTGTAAAATGGGTACCAGTAGATAAGGTTAAGTGCTTAAAAGCAGCAGTGAAGCAGCAGAAAGCCTGAAAGCAAAAGTGCTGGCTAGATCTAGAAGGCTCAGCATGGCCCAATGTCCCATTTGACCACCAACAGAGCACCTTCTACCAGGATCAGCCATGCAGGTCTTTGCGTAATCAGCTTAATCATGTAAAGTTTCAATTTCCTGCTTGTGATGTGTGATGTGCCTGTCTAAAGCTATGCTTAATCAAGCTAGAATATTTTTCACACCTTCAGGAAGAATACACTTGGCTGAATAAATTACCTTCTTAGCTTTCACTATTGGCCTGTGATCAGTTGCCCATTTTATTTAGTCCAGCAGAAAGCATATGGTATTAATTTGATCTTTCCCAAGGGAAGATATTTGTCTATTTTCCACTGGAAAACTTATTTTTCATTAGCTCAAGTGAGATAGAAATTGTAGCACTTTTCTTTAGTGTCATACTGTAAGAACAGAAAGAATACTGTCCAACTAGAGGACAGAAGGGAAAAGAGCCAGCTCTTGGGACAGAATCATCACACATTAATACAAAGTCAAAAGGTGAAATTGCTGTTTAGCTGACACTTCACAGAATCACAGAATCACAGAATTGTAGCTGTTGGAAGGGACCTCCAGAGATCATCGAGTCCAACCCCCCTGCCAAAGCAGGTTCCCTACAGCAGGTCGCACAGGTCGGCATCCAGGCAGGTCTTGAACATCTCCAGAGAAGGAGACTCCACCACCTCCCTGGGCAGCCTGTTCCAGTGCTCCGTCACCTCACTGTAAAGAAGTTCTTGCGCATGTTTGTGCGGAACTTCCTATGCTGCAGTTTCTAGCCGTTTCCCCTTGTCCTGTCTCCACTCACCACTGAAAAGAGTCCGGCCTCGCCATTCTGCCCCCCACACCTCAGATATTTATAGACCTGGATCAGGTCCCCTCTCAGTCTCCTTTTCTCAAGGCTGAACAGACCCAGTTCACTCAGCCTTTCCTCATAGGGGAGATGCTCCAGGCCCTTCACCATCTTCATGGCCCTCCGCTGGACTCTTTCCAAGAGATCCCTGTCTTTTTTGTACTGGGGAGCCCAGAACTGGACGCAGTACTCCAGATGAGGAGTACTCCCTTTTAAGGTGAGATAACACAACAATTGTTCTTTCTCAGTCTTCTTTTTATAATCTTTACTTTTTATGAGTGCCTTTTACATGTTTACTTACCTGCTGTCTTTATTACAACTTTCTTTCATCAAAACCCTGAATGCACCTATTGATTCAAATGCCCTGGCCATCCCATAAACACCTTTATCTGCAGTCATCCTACAGCCTCTCCCTCCACAGCCTCCACAGCCCTTAACTGTGGAATGCCAAGATCAAGTCTGCTTTGCGCACCTGCAAAACATAGGATTGACATACTGGAAAACAGTCAAAATGATCTTCCTGCTCCCAGTATGTCTTCCCATCTCTTCCTAACTTTCTAACTCCTTATTAGCCCTTCCAACTGGCTTCATTTGGGTAATATTTTTTATTTGAACACCAGATTACTTCAGATCACTTCCTAAGCTTAACAATCTGGTTGAGCTTGTTTAGTTCCTGAAGAAAATTGTTCCTGTTATTTAGTTGTAAACATTACAAACTCTTTCCGTAAGTCCAAACCAAGTAATAACATGGGATGGCAGACAAGGAAACACATAATTGGACTTGACCTAGTAAGTGTAGTCATGCACCTTTTTACAGTCTTCATAACAGTAATCAATGCACTCCAGGAGCAGTCCGTAAAGGAAGGCAGAACTCTTCAAATACTTCTTCACTTGATCACTCCTTGAAGTTTTGCCAGATGCCACAAAAACCAAAAAAAGCTGACATGACAACAGTCATGCGTCATTACCACTGAGAGATAGCTATTAAGATATCTTGATAAGACACAATGCACTTAGTTACTGTTCTGTAATTCTTAGGACTCCCTTGACGCCTTGAACCTGTCACTCCCTCTGCAGCTCTGTTCTGCTGTCATGTACAAAAGAATAAAACTGATATTCAAAACTAAAAAGCATTTCAGTTTCAGATTTTTCTTTCATTATGGAGCAAGCAGTTAACATCTGTAGTAATTTCTCCATTGTCAAAACCATATTGCTGTATAGTAATTAAAATCAGCCATTTTCTGGCTACGTGAAGCCTAAGAAGTATTTATTTCTGTCATTTTGATGTGCTTATCCCATACTTTCTGTTCCTGCTTGGGTGTTGTATTCGGTGGTGGTGGTTTTGTTTGCTCATCTGTTTGTTCCTGTTTACTCATTGGATTTTGATCATTATAAAAATTGTGCTTGTTTTATTCTTGTCTTTTACCTTGATCCAAGGGAAAAGTATGTTTCTTCCATTTTTTTCAGTGATGATCCTCTCTCCTTTCCTGGTTCAATCAGCAAGAAGGTGAAATGATCTCAAAGGGCAAAACACACAATCTCAGAAGCAATCTGTAATGTTTGACTCTCTTCCAAGGGCAAGATTTCACAAAGGAGTGTGAGCCAATATAATGCAGGGCCACTTTCCGTATCTTGTGCTGGAAACACAGAAGAGGTTTCAGCTGACTCAGAAAAGTGATCAGGTTTACCCAGGTCACTTGGTGGCAGCTGAAGGAAGGTGGTGGCCATGCAGCGGGACGGCCTGCAGAGCCAGGCCTGTCCTCCCCATGCAGCACCATCTTCTGTCAGACCAGAGCCCACAGAAACACTGCCCTGTGTCACCCTCACTGCTTCTCTTCCTGTTTTTTTATTCTATCTTACCTACCGCCTATCCTACATTCATTGGATAACACAGCAGTTTTGCTCCTTCACCTCCTACATTAGGAACGGAACTACTTAAATCTCCAAAAACCTGTCCCTGGGTTTAGACTCAACTATAAAAGGATTTGGAATGGGCAGGAATGTTGTTTAGCTCCAGTGACTTCCTGCTTATACCCTTCGATCTTCGATTGACCCTATGATCCTGTCTCTTTCACAGAGAGATCTGCCCTAAGTTCTTCACTTTGGATAGATTTAACAAGGATCGTTCCCATGCCAAAATTCCCTTCCTCATCTTTCTCTTTCCATGGGCTTCTGTGCTTTTCTCTTTCCAATGTATATTATCACCAAAGAGCTAAAGTACCAAACAGCAACCTCACTTCTATTTCTCAGCAGGGTGTACTGAGTTATTTCCAACTGCGGCTGCTACAAAACTGGCTCCTCTCTGGGTGCAGCAGCAGCAGTTGTCACCCCACAGAGGTGCAATGAGGAGGTGGTGGCAATGACATGTAAATGTCAAATTTTAGCAATGCAATGCAAGCTCTTTAAGTTTGCACCTGCTCTGAAATGCTCTTTACACTGCACCTATACTGTATTCTTTGAGGAAAAGATCCTCCCTGCATCAGAGAACCTAGCTGACTTTATTGTACGTATCCAATTCATTTCAAAGAAACAATGCAAATCTAACACAACATATTCTAGAGTTTCTTCAGTTCTTTTCTCTCTGAGGTAGTGGAGTACAAACTGACTCAGTCCGTCCATAAGATATTGCCCTGTCTTATCTTTAGATATGGCTTTGAGTCATAATCATTATATTTACAATCTCATTACGGGAAAAAATTAAGCCTCCGCAACACATGCACACATATGTGCACGTACACAAATATTCACATACACACATATGTGCACATACACCAACATTCACATACATTTACATATACACTGATGTAGACAAAAATAAAAGAATAACTTTAATGTCTTTATAGGATCAGAAAAAGTTCCTTGAAGGACACAGTAAACTCAAAGCAACCCAATGTGTTACTAATAAGCACTTTTCAGCCTTCTAAACCCTTCTAAACAAGGGGAGCAGTAACAACAGGGAAGAAAAGTTCTAATGAGATTTTTTATAGCAGAGATCCATCTTTAGGGTAGAAAGCCATTCTCTGTGTTTGCTTGTTTAAGGATACAGGTGGCAGAAACATACTGGAACCATTGCAGACTGTACAGTTTTTCTCCAGACATGACATGTCAGAGAGCTGAAAGCAAAGTGCCCCAACTGGTCTCCTTCCTTCTGCTCTGGCTTTTAGTAAACATTCTTTTGTCTTTAGTTGGGTCAGGACAAAGATTACTTCTGTCTTGTTGCAGAATTTTCTCCCCCACCCTACGATCACAATTTCCTCCTCCCTGGGAATTCCCCACCTAGAAGCTGAATGGCATATGCACTTACAGAAACATAAACACAACTCACACTGCTTAGTTTTGCTTGTCATCTGTTTTTTAAAAAGGAACAGTATCTTCAGTATCTCTCTCAATTTAAACTTTTCCACCACACAGTAAGAATAGGCCATGACACTGCACAGCATTAAGACTGTACACAGATATTGCATATTTGCAGTACAAAGCTATCAGCCTCTACCTGATTTACTGTCATTCAATCTTCCATGATAAAATTCATAGACAATATGCAGGTATTAAGTCATTATGTCTTCATAATATCTGGAATCTGATTGTTCACTCTGTTTATTGTAGGATATTTACTTTTACAAGTCTAAGCAGTAAAATGTTTTAAAGTACCCAGAGCTCTGACAAGCTTACACTTTATGTTGAAGCAGCTTAGCTGTATTTTCTGAAAGATTCTTTTTCTTCTTTTTCTTTACTAAACAAAGGCTTGTACTTACTGTTAGACACACTGCTGTTAATAATACAAAGAATAGTAACAATATTGTTGAAACACCAAACTTCAAATTAGAAGGGGTGTATGCCATTGGAGGAATAAACATTACTGCTTGTGCAATATTAGATAGCTCAGAGCGAAGAAAAACTTCATCCACAGCACGTATTGCAACATAGATTACGGTTATGTTCCCTGCTGTAAAAGCTTCTGGTTTAAACACAAATATTTCTGTGCAGCCAGCACGCTGAGGTGATAGAGTGGAAGTATTCACAAATGTAGTGTTATAGAAGCTGTCTCTTAATTCCAGAGGAGTCTCACTTGTTCTGATTTCATAACTTGTGGCTGAAAATACAAATATTAAGATATTGTCATCTGTTTGTTAGCTATCATTCCAACCTCATATCTGTTTTAAAATACTCTCCTTTCAAAATACTTCTAAGATACTGATTACGTAATACCATCCTCACAAGCCAGTTCACCACTGGAATAATTAACACAGCATTTCACAGAGCATGAATAGAGCCCTGGAACCACAGTAGCTTTTAATGAAATTTCCATTGACGTAAGTGAGACAAAACTCCACTACAAATATTTCAACTTGGGCAGGAGGCAGGCTAGCAAGCCAACGAACGTACCTTGGCCTTCGTCAAAATCATCTCCTGGTGCAGTCCATGATAGAATGACTTTATCATCTTCCATTCTGGCATCAAGGTCAATAATTTTACATGGTGGAAAAACATCAACATAAGGTGCTATTGGAACTGCAGATACTGTGAAAGAGTCTCCCACAGCTGTTCTAGAAAAACCTCCTCTTCTGACCTGAATATTATTTTTAATAGCTGGGGGTCTTGATGGGTTCATCTTGAGTTTACCTACAAGATTAAAAAATGCTTATTAATCTTAACTGTTTGAGTATTATTGTGTTCCACAAACTACCTGAACTTCACCTATACTGTTTTAAACACAAAAATACCATCCACTTCATTTAAGATCATTTCAAGGGCATTGTCTACTTCTTTGTAGTTTCAAGAATGCTACTAAGAAAGGTAATATGAAATTGAAGTAAGTGTTGCTTTTTATAATATAAACAGGAGAGTTTGATCTCCTAATATTTTAACCATTCTTTATTTGAGATGACTGAATAGAGTCATCTACAGACTAAACCTATGGATAGTTTCTTCAGAGACAAAAACCAAATCCTATTTATCTACATTACATAGATACTGTCCCATTATAGTTGTTTGAAGTCTGCTTTCAGTATTTTACTGGGGTAGAGCTGTCATCATAATGCCTGCTCTTAGTATCTTCAAAGGGATGGACATCTTCAGGTCCTGCAATGAAGCTTTATTTTTTTTCTCTGCACTACTTCATCTTACCATTTTCTACATAACCTGGTATATACATGGCATGACTCCATGGCATTGCAGTCTGTGGCACGGTAGTCCTGTTAGCTTGGACATGAACTTTTAGGCTGTATCTTCCATTCCCAGAGAAAGAAAACAAGTACTTGGAATAGATGCCATCATTCTTAATAATGTCAGAACCTAGTAGAAGAGAGATATAAATTGACTTCAAATAATAATGGATGTGAGTTTTTGTGCTTTCTATATTCATACATAGAAAGTAGAGTTTAAGAATAGGTAAACTCTTCTTCAATAGGCAATCTGTGCAGCTCTTCTACCTTTGGTTGCATGTTAAATTGATCTGAAGTTAAGATGCATTCCTTGTACTGAACGTTAGCTGAAGAAAAAGCTAACTTAGGAAAATCATCTTATTTCACCAGTTGCCGCAGGTGCACTCAAGCTGCGTTCTGGGAGAGTGCCCAGGAATTCAGGGGAGACAGAGGACCTGCACTTCTCAAGTGCTCAATGTGTATTCCCAGAAAGTATTCTCACTTAAGGACTTACCCCCAAGGTGATGCAAACCAGAGAGTATTCATTACTATAATCTTCTGATTGTTTTCAGTTGTGAAATTTAATGCAGAAACAACAAATCTAAGTTGCTCCAAAAGTTCATAACTACCTACTCTGTTCAAAAATCCTTTCTAGCAACATGATGGTCTGTGCAGTTAAGATTGTGTTACCTTGCAGTAAGTTTAACTAACCATAATAATTTATGCAAAGCAAATGTGTGAGTTACTAAACATTACTAAATTCTAACACCTTTGGGAGTTTCACACCTTTTCTTGACGACTATTAAGAGGCAATAGAGCATAGGGCCTGCAACTTCTGCCTGGAAATGTTTAAACTTCACCTTACTAACAGCTTTCTAATTTACTGAGATTTAAAGACCACATCTTCCAATGTGCTGAACATCATCAGTTCAATCAGCTGGAATGACAACTGATAACTAATGAACTTATTGGAACGTGTCTGTGCATTTAATTCATGCATATAAATCCTGTTCTGAACAAAAGCTTATCTAGAGATAAATTCAACAAGAACACACACTTGTGTGTGTTACCATAGAACATTAGAAACTCTGCCTCAGAGCATTATATCCTGATGTATTCAGTGAAAACAGTACTTAGAGGAGTAATTTAATTTAATTTTATAGATACTTCTGAATTTATAGTCCTAGAGTCTTGTTACCTGCTCCATTGTCCAGAAGTTCCAAGGAAACCATATCTCCATTCTCTGAACTGAAAATGGCAGTCACATTTGCCCCAAGAATAGGGGAAAAGCCTTGGCTAATCTGTACATAGACAACCATTGCACTGGGATAGTAAGTTGTATCTTTACTCATATAGGTTTTCACAGACACAGTGGGTAGAGTAGAATTTGCTGCTCGAGAAGTTACTGTCATTGTCAGAACTTGAGGAGCCAGGTGAACATTTATCAATGTGTATGCCCAGTCTCCTGTCTGAAAAAAAAAAACCAACCAAATGTTTTCAAATGAAATAACAATCTTTTGGATAATTTAATTTGTCCTTATTTAAATTCTGCCAGCCTACTTAGGCGAGGTAGAACCCTACAAGTATCTGCATTTTGTCAGTGGAAGCACTCATGTTTACAAATCAGAGTAAAGAAGTGCTTTCCAATTATCCTCCAGGCTGAATGTGACTCTGAGCAGCCTGGTCTAGTGGTTGGTAACCCTGCACATAGCAGGGGGGTTGAAACTCGATCATTGTGGTCCTTTTCAACCCAGGCCATTCTATGATTCTATCCTCTGACTCTTGGCAGCCGTTCCATGTGAGAATACAAACATCAATTTCAATTTACTTCCTTAGCTTCTGTGGAGTATTCAGGAGATTAAGAATAAAATTCTGTGGAAAAAAACGTTTTCAGAGCTTTTATGATGGAGAGAAGTTTCTATGCACAATACAGTAAATTTAAATGGACTTACTATGTTAAACGTTATCTGTTTCTTAGAACAGAAAAGAGAGAAAATTCATTTACTGGCTGCTGATTAGTATTCAGAAATTTTCAGTTAAGTTGTAAATCAAGTGTAAATTGTAATAAAGACAATACAGACAAAACCTTCAGGTAGCTCTCTTGAACACAGCAGATACTTCTGCTTGGGATACAGCAGCAGTCACATGGTGTAGATGAGCAATTCTATCTCAAGCCACAAAATGATTTTAATTAACCTAACACTGATGAAATGGAAGAAATGTAGAGTCAGGATGTTCCTCCCATTGCTAAAAGACAAGAAGAGAATGAGTTGTACCTCTGCAGTTCCTGGAATCTGGAGGCGAGCTAAGTGGAATACTGAATCTAATTCAAAGTCCTTGATGGTGTAGCTTCTTCCAATCGGATCAATCAGGATGATTTCTGGTGGTTCAGCAGCTTGCCATGTGGCTACAAAGAAGGTTTCTCGTCCCACAGTGCCATCAATAGTCACTGTCCTCCTGAGTTGCCTGTACCCTGCAACACTTTCAGCAGCACTTTCAATCTATCAGAAAGAACAAAATTATTCTATCAGTTCTGGAAATCACACATTCTTACAAAGAAGGATTTGGTCTACCATTTTAGCTATCAGATCTGATAGACTTGAAAAGTTATGAAGATGTACACTAATATTAGCCTCTGATAACTGGGGACTTTATTCTCCCCTTCAATTATATAATAGCACAATTTAGGGGCAGCTCCATAGAATCATAGGAGTGACAGAAAAATTAGGCCTTCTACTAATGTTATATTTTTACTGGATGGAATTCCAGAAATGCAGAGGTATGTAGGATATTACTACTTTCCCAGCTGAAAATGATGATATTAAAGAGCATCATCCTGAATAAGACTGATTTATGGATTTAAAGTTCCATCTATATGCTCCTCCATGAGGAAAAGCAATAAAAAACATTCCTGATGCAGACAGAACTTCATCCTCATCATGTTCTTGGATGATCAAATTTCCAGATGACATTCTGCGCCCTGCTTGAAGTGGTAATTATCTCTGCAAATTGCAGAGAAAAAGTTGGATATATTCTAGCATGCAGTAGAAATCAAGGAAACTTTTACAGTTTTCCAGATAACACAAAAGAAGTTAGAGTAAACACAACTGCATTTTCTCATCACTTTGCTCAACCTGCAAGCAGACGATTATACATCAGGCTGGTGAAGTTGTCATCAGGAAAGAGGGAGCAGGACACCTAGATACATGTGATACATTTTGATCTTATCTAAAAAAACAATAAGCAGAATAATTAACTGTACCTATAAAACAAACCTGAACAGATTGATGGAATGTGTCTCCACTTCTGGACATAATTCCAGAGAAAACATCCAGTAAGTCACTGAAGTCCAGCCTTTCTGGGACAAAAAACTTAAATCCTCCTGAAACAGCATGATTTATTACAGACTTAGCTATTAGATATTACATAAGACATAAGAGCTATTTCTGATTCGCAAAATGTACCAAATGTTACCGCAGAACTGCAGTGGTGCCAGGGAGGGAGGACAGCCATCTCACTTCCCTGTGGACAAACACCACCTTCTTCATCAGAGTTTTCTCAGCATCTTCAGATTGGAGTCATGGTTTATTCCTGTACTTACCTGTCTCTTTGGAAAAGTGTTCGATTTCCTTAGCAGCTGAGGACCCAACAGTAATGGTATGGATGACTGATCCACCATTAATCACTTCGGAAAAACACCTGCCTGTACTATCGTCCTGTCCACCTGTCACCAGTATAATTTCAGATCCATACAGATGTCCTTCTTTCTTCCTAATGACCTGGTGGTAGAAGAACAAACTTTAGCAGAAGCAATAAATATCACATAATCTACACTGTAATTAATTTTGACACTGTCTTTCAAGACACTCTATCATGATGAGTACCCTCTAAGTTTTATATAGCAGTAAGGCATAGAAAAAGCAGGGACCAAAATGAGAATGTGACACATGGGTACTTGACAATGAGATATGCAGTGAAAAACTCCAGTAATTTCCTTTCTCTCCAGTATATTTATGCAGATATTAATCCTCCCAGCAGAAGGCTGAGACCAAAGGCTTCAGCATGCAGGAGTCAATTAAAATCAGACATGAAAAAATATAACTGCTCCCAGATTTCCCAGACAAAATTCAGGGTGGTGGTGACCCACCCTGGTGGCGGGATGAGTACATTTCACATAATTCATTTGCTGAGCTGTTGTAGTACTCAGCAGGCTGAGGTAAACTGATGCAGGGAAAAGTTGCCCTTAATATACAGTTCTTAAAGATGCAATAATAAAACCATGTTAATGAATTCATATTGCATAACAAGGCCAAAAAGGAATGGGATTTTAGACAAATCTAAGTTGAATTTAGCAATCAAAATCCCACTTAATCAAAGACAGCAGAAATGCAGTGTATGTCAGCTTCAGTTTTAGAAATAATTTACAAAGCAAAATGGAAAAATAGTAAAGATAAAACTTACATAACTCGTAACATTTGTAACTACTAAAGTTGTAAAGTTAATATATATCATGATGGTTTATAACACAAATATCATGAAACGTATTGCAACAATCACATAAGTTCTTATAAAAAGAGTTTGGCTGTTGTATTTTTAATTATTACAAGGTGATAAATAGCAGGTTCACAGGAAAACTAGGAGAGTTCTTCTCAGAAACCATGCAGTAATCAGTATAAGGCATTTGATGTGGCCTAGACACAAATATCCTCACTACTGAAGAAACAAACCATCTATATAAGAGGTGCAAACAGAAGCAGTGTATGTGGTGCTTCACCTCACACGCCAGCCTCAGGCCTGTGCAAACATTTGCCCTCTTCCCCCCTGGAGCTGTAGGGAGATATGAAGCAAGCTGTTTCCGTGCTTCGTTGCTGACTATCTGGTGCACGTGAGTTTTGATCTCTCCTTTGTCACTGAATGTGACAATACCAACATAAGTGTTTTCTTCCACAATTTGCAGTAAATACAGTTCTGCTGCTTGATGCAATCTAATGATCCAGTTACCCTACACACAGAAGGAGTGAAAAGCGAAGAATTTCATTAAGCACGTGAAATAACAATGAATGCTGCAAATTACAAGCTGATAGATAAAAATTGTTGGCAGAAAATATCACAGAGGGAAGGAACATAAAATACTCACTTTTTCAAGCTCCAATGTTAATTTAGAATACAAAACCCTGCGACGCTATTCAGTTTGTTTCACTGAAGATAAGCCTTAAAGTTAGCCAATATTTAGCCCACCCACTGTTGAACACTGTTCTTCAGTGAAGAAGGCCTTCAGGCCCATCTCTTCTGGAATTTTTTTGTTCCTCACAGCTTCCCCCCTACCCTTCTGGCTCATCGTCAATCTTTCTCACACTTCATGCTACCCAGCACACAAAGTCCTTTATTCCACTCAAAGCCTTGCCACTGATAGCCACCTGGCCAGTATTCTGCATCGCTGTGCTGGCCTCATTCATGGCTCCTCTGCCTCAAAGATGTAAGAAAATCCCAAACACTCTCACTGTCGAGTTGGATTCCTTACATCATGTTTCTCTGTCTCTGCATGGAGACTATTTCTAGATGAATAAAGTTCTGAAAACATAAGAAAAAAAAAATACAATATACAATGAAATATACTGATGAAGAATTTACCCCAGCTATAGTCTTGGAAACATCAAGAACTAAACAGATGACTCTGTCTCTCTTCTGAAGCAGTGAGAAAGAGGGAGGACTAATAAGGCTGCTGCTGGTCAATGGAAGATCATTTTCAAAATCTGTAGAGTTTTTAATTACTTCCCATGTGCTTCTGTAGTCACACATTCGATTCTGCAAATTGGGTGCTTCTCTGTTATGATTATGCTCATTGCAGAATTCTGCCACCTAAAGTGTTCAAAACAGGTAGATAGAAATCAGAAGTAAGCAATAAAAGAGTAATAAATAAATTTAAGATGGAAAACCATAGCAGGTGATTTTTGTATACACACAGTTGAGACATCACCTCACAGTTAACTTCGTACCGCATTCATAGTAATACATTACAGTTGATTTGCTTACATAGAAGTTGAACCAAATGTAGCATAGGAGGATATATCAGATTTTGTAACGGTATGTTTCACTGAAAGAAATCTGTTCTCACATGTTTGTACTTACAGATGATAAACTCTGCATATACATTATTGAAGATACTGCAGTCTGATTCCTCTCAGGAATAAATGCACATCCTTCCTTAAAAAGTCCTGTTAGCTTATTAATGACACAACTACCATCAGTGCAGGAGTTTTTTTCACAGACATAGATTCCAGTAAGATCAGAGGAACATCTAAGGATAAAAAAGAATACATTTCCACTTAAAAACCTACCCAAATATAGGGCTGACATTAATGATGCTTGCAGTGTACTCTGCAGCTCAACTGCATAGAAGTTGACATTGCAAAAAGATATGAATATCCATTGCAAAGTGACAAAAAGAAGAATCATTATTTTTTTCCTTTTCAACACTTCAGCCTCTTGACTAAGTACAAATAATACAAAGTCTACAACTGCAAAAGCAATCTTACTCATCCAGAAGTCACATCTTCCAAATACTTCCATACCCTGAAAAACTGCTGTAAATGACCTCCTGGTGTACCATAGGCTTGGTGAGTTCCAGGTCAAACGTGCTGTAACAAAACTTTGTTTCTCAAGGTCCATTTGGTTGTATAGATAGTGAGGAAAAGCAGGTCATGAGTCAGGCACTACTGCAATGGTGAATGTAGAAGTGAAGATGTGCAGATTTAGCGAAGATGAAAAAACGAATTGAAGAAGAGAAGCTCAGCAGAAAAACCCCAGATTTGCAGCATGCTCAGAGAAGGGAGTAATGCTTAAGCAGATCATGGGAAGGAAGATTTCTGAACAAGCACCATTTCCTCTCCAGCAGTAGAGTCCAGAAGTGATGAAGTCTCCAGTGTGAGACCAGAAAAATGTAACATTCATCATCTCTGCCAAGCCATCAACCACAGAAAAGTGTAAAAGTGAACGCACAGAAAATAGTAATTTACTCATAAAGAAAGAAGAATATTTAATGATGGATAAAATAAATAAGGGCTAAAAGAAACTGGGATAGCTCAAGAGCTTTTAGAAAAATACCAGGCAGCTTTCTAAAACATACCAGAAAGAGTTTGTAGAAGGGGCAAATGCTGAATTACCTTGTAACTTTAACCTGATTCTGTCCAGTGACATAGAATGGTCTGTCATTGTCATACTCATCAAAGACCCCCCAACGAAGGTGGGCCCACTCATGTACAAAGGTTCTGCCTGCAGAGGACAGAAGTGCAAACACGGAGTGACCAGAGTTGGCTGTTACATTACTGCCTCAACAGTTGATCAGTGATATTACACTGGGGACTTTAATCACACCATCATACCACAAGCGGTTTTAATATCAAGCAATTCACTTCTGTGCCTAAGTTTGACTATCTTTAACTAATATCATTTGGAAATCTTAGCTTTCATGTTAACTAGAATTGGTTTATTTTATCATCAGCTTTCAATATTCCATCTTTTGTTTCACAGTAAGGGCAAACTGGAGAAGTAAACAATTTAGGGAATTTACCCCGTGAGCCATAGATGTCTGTCACATAATCGTTTGCTAAGAAGTTAGGTGTGAAATGGATGTATTTTCCCATTTTTCCACAAGCTTCATGTTGCAAGGTGTATGGGTCATCGCCATGCCTCCAATAAGGAGCTGCCACTATGACATCTGCCTAAAATCATTAAAAAGTACAAAAAATTACAAGTAGGAACTTGATTAAAGGAAGAAATGCTTTGTTGTTTATTTAAACTGTCCAATGCAGTACCACCCAGCTCTAACTGAGCTCCTAACTTCTGCTGCAGCAAGATGAATAGAAGATTATGGATAGATTTCCCAGCAGCAAAATGAAAACCTGAAGTGACATACTAGTGTACTTATTTCTTTATTAAAGCTCTTTACATATTAGATTCATTTCTTATAAAAAATAATTAGAATCTGTGACTACAGTAATAAAATGGAGAGCCATGAGAAAGGACAGCTTCTATTCTTGTAGATAGCCACATTTTTCCTTTTTTTCCCATACTTCAAATCCAAGAAACTTTACTCTCATGTTAGGTTTCACTACGTATTGAGAATGTTATTTGAAGAATTAGTCAGAAGCATCACTGTCAACATTTTTCCGCAGGTTTTTGGTTTTGCTTTTTTTTCCCCAGACTTAGAAAGAAAGATTCTTTTTGGGTGGGATTGCAGAGCTGGCTGCAAGTACTGATAGTTGGGATGACTTCAGACAGGAGGAAGGTTTAACACAATAGGCTGAAACAGAATTCCAACTATAGAGAATATAAAGAAAAGCAGGCATTCAAAGGAGAGAGGAAGAAGAAAGTGTAAATTGGTATCTGCAAATCAGAGGGTTTGGTAGTAAGCATCTGTCCATTCAAGATAGACTGGAAAACAAAGATTGGGTATGTCCCTCTTATCTTTACTCTGCCTCTGAGGAATGTTACCGATGAAAGGTGACAAGCAGGAACACAACTAAAACATACGTTAATATTATAATATTATGTATTTATTATATATTATACGAGGGCTGCTTGGAAAGTAATGCCTCCTGTTTGTCATGTCCTGTTTGTTATGTCAGCCCACAATGTCAGAGGTGGATGTTGGTGGGATGGCAGCAGAGGCTGAGTCCTCCCATCAGTATCTCATTTTGTTGCTGTGTGACAAATGACAGCAGAGAGGCAGTCTGACAGAATATTGTCTGATATGGAAGTGTGGATGAAGCAAAGGTGTCTTATTGAATTCCTCCACGCAGAAAAAAATTGAATCCACTGACATACATTGACACTTGCTGAATGTTTATGGAGACCAAACAGTAAGTGTGAGCACAGTGAGGTGGTGACTGGTGCATTTCAGCAGTGGCAACAGTGACAGTGATCACTTCTACTGGTGTAGATTTTTATGAGCATGGCATACAAACTTTTGTTCATCACTGGTGAAAATGTACAGCTAACGGTGGTGACTGTGTTGAAAAATCGTGTTTTGTAGCTGAGAATTTGTTCTGTCAAACAGTGTTGTTGTGCTCTTAGTAGCTGTTGTAGTTTCCACAGAAATACATAGGAGCCATTGCTTTTGGAGCAACCTACGTATATTTATTTTTTATATATGATGCATATATTATTTTATTGCAAATGTTATATGTTATATACTATATTACCTACTGAGAGAATATATTGGAATGTCTGCTGCAAATATCTCATACTTGTGAAGCTGGTCATTGAGTACCAGCAGTCATGCAAGTAGCTAAAACGCAGATTCATGTGTGTCCCACTTCCTGGATTGCAGCTACACAAAGTTTTGAATAAATGGAGTCTATGTTTCTTTTTCTATTTCCGTAGCAACAAGGTGACTTTGCTGTTCTGGATTTCCTTGGCTTTCTTGCCAGTCCTCTGCTAATGAATCTGAAACTCCACCTAGACAAGTATTACTGCTGTCTTCAGCACAAATGTCAGCCACAGTGCAATTAGGCAACTATGACCTAATTTACTAGATGATCTTTAAGACCTCTTCCAACCCAAGCCATTCAGTAATGTCTTTGAAAGATGATGGGTTAAGAATGTAAAAGGTGAAAAAGGCAACCAGTCATCACTGGAACTCACAAGCAAACATTCCCAACTTGTCATAAATGTGGAAATGAGTAGAGAAATGAAATAAGAATGATCAGATCAAAGATATTCAAATCAGGCTTCTAAAATGATTCAAAAGCCTGTAAAGCAATCAGTTTACAGACTCTGATGGTTCTAACATGGAGCTTCTTGCAGTCCAGCACTTTCTTGTTTCTCATTTAAAACCAACAGGCTGCTACAACTACTGTTACTGTAGGCTGTAACTACTATTTTGTTACTGATGCTCATTATTTATGTACTTACTAGTGGTGGTTTTTGTCTGATCTTGAGAGCATTCTCATGTGAATGGTGTTCATATCACTGTTTAAAAGTTATCGTACGTTTGGGCATACAGATAAATGTTCAAAGTAACTTTTAGTTGCACCCCATTTCCTGCAGCTGGTGTTGAGTCTTACCTTTTCATAGGTCTCGTGTTTTGGTTTCTCATAACCTTTCTCTTTCCACGTCGGAGGTATCAGAATCTTCACGCTTCTGAAATAGACCCTGCCTTTTGTAGCACTGAACAGATAAGAGGAAGCTTCGGTGATCATCTCCTGGCAAACACGCAATGAAAAGGCGGGATTAGTAGTGTGTTCATTACGCTATCGATCTCGACTACGGCATCTGTTGCGCAGCTTAGCGGCGGCTTGAAGGACGCGTCGGGCCCGGTTCCCCCTCCGGGGCTGCCCCTTCCTGGGCCCGCCGCTTTACGCCTTACCTGGAGGCGTGCGACGAGCCGGCCGTCCTCCGGCACGCGGGGATGCACGGCGGCCAGCAACCCATCGTAACCGCCGTCCCGCAGCACCGCCGCCCCCTCCCCTGCCGCCGCCAGCGCCAGGGCCAGCAGCGCAGCCCCCGCCGCCGCTCCGCCGCTCATGCCGCCCGCCTTCCCCGGCACAAGAGCTGCGGGCGTAGGAGGACGAGGCGGGCGTCTGCCGTACTCCCTCCTCCCCTGCCTGCCCTGCAACCCCCCCGGGCTGGTGTCGGTGCCCGGCGCCTTCCCGGCGTTCTGCCCGACGCGGGTCTGGCACTGAAATCGGAGAGCCAAAGCGCGCCAGCAGCCCACACTGAGAATCCGCGGGCTTTTAGGGCTTAAGCAGAAGTTTATTCTTTGCATGAACAGCTTGGGGATGGTATCCCTACTGTTACAGCCCTACAGTTACACCAGGAGAGTGGCTTGACGTTGGTAACGTAACACCCACCAAAGCTCCCACTCATTTTGATGGGCCACAATGCTTCTTCCAGACATCTCCCATTTGTCAGCAGGCACCATTTGTATCCAGCCCCACTGCCCAATCCACACATGTATGGAGGGGTCTCTGCCTCCGCCTGATGCAAGGCAGAACTTCCAGGGCTGCAGGATTTCCAGGGCTACTTGTGGCCACATTGATAAAACAGAGAATTTAGCTAGGAGCCCAACCCTCTGCTCCCTTCATGAGAAAGCTGTGGGCTGCCATGAGGCCACACCTCAACCTCCTCTCTTATGGGCTGAACAAACCAAGGGGCTTCAGCCACTCCTCACACACCTTAGCCACATGCTCTTCCTTTGCCCTCATTTGGATTCTGATATCTTTATGTCCTTTTTGTGGCACACAGACCTGCACACAGTACTGGAGGTGAGGCTGTATCGTGCAATGCAGAGGGAGACAATCCCTCCCCTTGCTTGCTGGCAGTGCTGGGCGTGATGCACTCCAGGGTACAGTTGGCCCTTTTGGCTGCCAGCACACACTGTTGCTCAGATTCAACGTGATGTCAGCCAGAACCCCCAGATCCCTTTCTGCAGGGACTGCTCTCCAGCCTGATGCACTGCACAGGGAGAATGTCAAAATTGAGAAGTGAATGCACGTATATTCATGGATTGATTAGTAAAGAGAAATGAAATCTACTATTGCTTCCTTAGAAGGTCTAGAAAGTCTCGTGTAAATAGCTGAAATGTCTGACTGAACTGGAAGTGACTCACATGGAAATGAGCTGTGGCTCATTTACAGTAACAAAGAGGACTAGAAAATCTGGCCCAGGCAGGTCAGTGCATGCAGTGAAGGCAGTCCTGCGATGCTGCAGTGCTATATCCTCCATCTAAGGTGAGATGTTCCCAAATGAATCTCAGCCGAAGCCAAACAAGCTTAGCACTGAAACAGTGGTCTGCAAATGGAGAACACCCAGACCTGCCTCCATGTAAAATGTTGTTCAGGGGAAAGCGCTGCCTTTTACTGCCCTTATTCTATCCATTCAGGTACAGAAGCAGTACTGAAACACCTGCTGCTGCTCTAGCAGCGGTGAAGATGGTCTACTTTTTCTGTGAAGTCCTCCACACAGAGATCCTTAGGTGGGAGCTTACAGCATCAGAACTCTTTTGGCTCAGTGCTGATGACCCCAATCTCTGCTAAGGAAAGGGCTCCCCTGTGAGGTCAGGCTGAGAGCTGGAGCTGTTCAGCCTGGAGAAGAGAAGGCTCCAGGGAGACCTGAGAGTGGCCTTTATGTGTCTAAAGGGGGACTGTAAGAAAGAAGCCTATCAGAGTCTGTTGTGACAGAACAAGGAGAAATGATTTCTAACTAAAAGAGGGGAGATTTAGACTGGACATAAGGAAGAAGCTTTTTGCAATAAGGGTGGTGATGCTCTGACACAGGTTGCCCAGATGTAGTGGGTGCTCCTTCCTGGAGACACTCAAGGTTAGGCTGGAGGAGGCTCTGAGCTCCTCATCAAGCTATGGGTGCTCCTGTTCATTGCAGGGGAGTTGGACTAGCTGACCTTTTAGGAAAAATTCCAACTCAAATAATCCTATGATTGCATAACTTTGGGGCAGACCTGCCTGAGGAGCTGGCATGCCGCAGAAGAAACCACCAGGTCTATTTTGTGGGAAGATATGTTATCAACTCTCCTGGGCATATACTGCTGTGTAAGGCAGTAAGTGTCCGAGACTGGCTAAGAGAAAGGAAGATTAAGTCCTTCCTTTCCCAGAAAAGATAGCATTTCACATTATGGCACATAGAGGTGTGGGGAAGGAACAATTTTACAGACAGGGCAGAAGCAAATCAAAAGAGAAGAAAAAAACACAACTGCTGATGGTTCAGTGAAAGGATTACACAGGAGAACTGTTCTGTTTTGTATTTCGAAGAGTACTAATGAAGCCTTCAGTTAGAATCTGAGAGCACATGACTAAGCAAATTAATTGACGAGAAAGTCATTTTAGTACCACTTTTTATATGTTTATTGGTCTGTGAGCTGTAGCTTTAGATTTGGGAACTGTTACAGTCCTGTTTACTGATATGAGCACAGAACGTTGGGTTTCAGGACTTTTCCATGCATTTTGTAATGTATCTTTGCAAATAACAAGTTGGCCATGGGCAGGAGTGTAAAAATCAATCCAGGAGGAAAAATGAGGAACTGAAATCACATTTCTTTCTTAATGTAACCCCTTGACCTCCTAGATAAACCTTGTTTTTTGTTTTGTTTTGGTTTGGTTTTTTTGTCTCTTCCTTGTCCTCTCCTCACATTGAATTCTTAGCAGGTAACTGAATTTATCTTTAAAGCTTGCTAGCTCTTCCTCTGAAAAATGAAAAAATGTAGCAGCTGCCTTCAGGAGCACCAGCACAGCACTGCAAGCATATTATATGCAGTTATAAAGAGACCAGTTCCACGATGAAGTGAAAATAGAGTCTTTTTGTAGTAAGTAGCTCTTGCCAAAATTAAACAAAGAACAAAGAATGGCTTTGGATTCTCAAGTTTCTGACACAGAAATGAGAAGTTCCATTATACCTTTAAATCAGATAAAGTCATGAGCTGGGACAAACACTCAGCAGTTTCTGCAGTAGTTGAAGAAGTCACTCTCCAGCACCTCTTTTATTAAGTCTTTTGGTTATGTGGTAGTTGAATTGTTTGTTATATTTCCTTTAATTATTTCCCACGAGGAACATTATACAACAGGGCCATCTTAAAACAGTTTTGTATTTCTCTCTTTGTTCACAAGGTACAGAGTGCAGTGTTGACTATCATGCTAATTAACCCTTACCATCTTTGTTTTGTTGGTTTTTTTTTTTTATTACATAAGCAATCAGCTTGTTTCTAGATAATTGCAATCGTGTATTGCTTTTAAAATAGATCTACCTTATAGCAACTTCTGAGAAGTTAAAATTCCAAAATCTGTTCCAGCAGAATATGAGACACCAAGAGCATAGCTAACAAATGCAAAGTTCATTGGCAAATTTTGCCAATGCAAAGTTCTGATGGAGATCATTGATTCACTGCTAAAATTCTTGTTCCTATAAAGAACAAAGCAGCAGGCTTCTCCACATGCAAAGACAAAATCTTCCCAGCAATACAGGTATAAACATGCCATTAATCCATAATGAATCATGGAGTGATTTCATCTTTAGTAGTATTATAAGGGTTGGGATATAACCTTTGATTTTTTGTGCGTATATGAATTTTCTTTTCTCTTCAGAAATCTGTGCCTCATCTTGTTCTGAAGAGCATTTGTGGAGGGAGGGAGGAATGAAGCAATCCGTCCCCAGCCATGCTCCTCTTAACACAGCTGTGGATGTGTGCACTGAGTGCCACTCCTGCATCAGAACACACTAGCTTGTTTTTCTGAATCTGTACCAGTAGATTGCCAGCGCATGACAAAGAAACGCCATTTAACACTGACGAAGCCTGTGGTGACATGAGTGCCACGGGTATCTGACATCAGCTTGCAGGTTTTGGGGTCCCCCGGTGTGCAGCAGTTCTGAGCAGAGCAACGCTCCTGCTGTAACCGGGGTTCCCTGAGGAGCACGGGGCTGTGTGCAGGGCTCTGAAAAGGCGTTTCCGTGGGAGACGACCGAAATGTCACACCTGTAGGAGGCAGTTACCTGCGTGCTCTCCGGGTGCTGCACCTCAGTTTACATCTCTTAATCTTGTACGAACAATACAGATTTACACAAGGAGCAGAAAGGCTAGGAGCATGATTTTCCCCTTTGTGCAACAAAAAAGATTCGGAGAAGTCCGTTTAAATAAATAACGACAACCTCAGAAAAACGTACTTTAATGGAAACAAGCAGAAAGAAAGCAAACAGGATCAGCAAGCGCGCTGATCTCCAGGGCTCCCCGGGCGCCGTGTCCGTGCAGTGACAGCCGCCTCCCGGGGGCGCGAGGCGCTGCACGCTCCAAGGTGCGCGAGGAGCAGCGGAGCAGCGGCTGCTGACGCCCGGTTGCCGCGGCAACGGCTGCAGCGATCCGCGGCGGCGGTGAGGGCCGCTCCCGCTGAGGGTCGGCGGGGTCGGCGGAACGGGAGCGGGAGAGAGAGCGGGCCGGGCGTGCGGGGGCCGTGTGGGGTGACGGTGCGGGGAGCGGGGCCCTGCAGCTGTGTGCGGCGTGCGGAAGTGGAACTGCAGCTGTGAGCTTCGCCTTTTCCTCCGGCTGCGTTCCGCTTGCTGCTGCTCGGGGTGATCGTTGTGCGCACTGTGAATTCATCGCCGCTTAAGCGGTTAGTGAGCAACAGCCTTACGCGGCATTAATACCTGCGCAAAAGTTCGCTTGCGTTGTGTTGTATCTCTGATGGGACTGCGTTCTCCTCGGTACACTGTGTTTTGCAGTGGGATCCAGCTGCGTCCTGGGGTAACCCCGCAGGTAGCGACGGCTGCTGAGCCGCACGGAGCGCCCTGCAGCGCCGGCAGAATGCCGTTACCGCCGCCGCCACCGCTGTGTCACCGCACCGCTCCTGCACGTGGCTCTGCTGCTCGGGAAAAGTTTTTTCTTGCTGATGTTAACGAGGCAAGTTTATTCACTTCTGTTAAGCCTGAAAAACGGCACACCAGAACGATATGAAAATCTTATTTCTTCTTTCCTGAACATATAGACAAACCAAGATGAATTAAATTTCACACTGAGCCTTCCAAGGTGCCATTTTCAATGAAAGCAATTAAATTCAACAGCCCAGCTTTGGTTGTAAGTAAGAAAAAGATACAGAGACTTAGATTGTGTTACTCAAATTGGGGCCTGCTACAAAATGTAAGCATGTAGTAAAATGGGAAGTGTAAGTACACATTAAAATAAATAAAAACAACAACAGTTAACTGCACTATTGGAGTGTAGTTATTTGCCTTACAGCAAGAGTTTGAGATAAAACACTCCACATCCAGATTTTGTAGGGGAATGTCCCAGAATTCTGGTACAAATTTTCTCAAATACGTGACAAGAGGAATACATATGGAGGAATACAAACTTTCTGCCTGCTGAACCCATTTGGAGAGGATGCATAGCTTGGTGTGGAAGCAGGAGTAGTTGGTTATGGCCGGGTATGGCAGAGGCAAGGGACCTTCCTGGTGCTTGGCAAGGGAGCAGAGCAGTGGGCTGTTTGCCAGCGCATACCTCCCAGAGCTGGACTTTGTGCCACGGGCAGCACATATCCCTGTGCAGCTCCGAGGTAAGCAGCTGATCCCAACCAGGAAAAGAGAAAAGCTGCTGCTGCCTCCAAATGGGATGAATTGCTGTGACACGTGGTATCTCCAAATTCACTGCAGGCAGTTCACCTTTGCCTCACAAATGAGATGTGAGCTGTCAGTCAGAGGGTGTGTTCTGTGGTATCACAGGGTTGTACACTTGTTGGAAATCATAAACAAAAGTGAGCTTTCTTTGTGCCTAACACTTCCGAATTGCTTGAAGAGCTGAATTGTTTTATGCTGTTATGCCTTGAACTGGAAAGGTGCATACCCTACCAGTGAATGGTACTAAATGCTGCATAATCATGAATATGTTTCAGGGAAAAAGGTGTGGGGTACCCGTTACATCTCAAGAAGAGGAAAAACACTGTTCACTGATTCTGCCATATAAAAATGATTGTCACAGAACTACAAAATCTATCCAAGATGGAATATATTTTACTGAGCTAAGCAAAGAATCTGACGATCCAGAACAACAAGTAAGAAAACGAGTAGAACAAAACATAGTACCAATGTGAACATAAACTTATTATGCAAATCTTTAACAGTTAGTCTTATCATTTTCTTTATTAGAAATAGTTGAAATATATATATATATTCTTTTATGTCCTATGCATGAAAACATGCCTGCAAAGTTGGAAGGAGTTCAGAGGGTCATGTAAGTCAAAATAGGAGATAGATCACAATGAATTCACATTTAACAGCAGTTAAATATGAGCAGTAGTGTGATATGGAAACCTTGTGGAGTAAAGAACCAAGATAGCTTTTAAAATTAAATGTAATTTTTCATCTTTGACTTCCTCAGTTCTCTTCTGGAAGTCATAACCTTTACTTCTTGCAGGCTGACAGACGGGTGTTTATTCTGAACATTCTTTAATTTCAGAGAAACTTCTCTTGATCTTTAGGTTTTCATAGAGCTGACAGTCTTATGGCATGAGGCTTTTTGTTGACAGCTACAGAGGGAGTAGCTTCGTAGACTGTGGCAAAGATAATTATGTGAGAACAAGACAAAGGCAAGATTAATTCAGGTCCATTCGTTTCTCAATTCTCTGAAGTCTTCTTAACAATTCCCTTTATGCTGATCAATTACCTTGGGGGCAGAAAATCACCGTTCCTGTTTGCAATGTACTTATTTCATGGTAGTGAACCTGCACCACTGTAAACAAATTAAACTCTAACTGAAAATATTGTTTATAAGCTGGCAGCGACTGTGCAGGAGGAAACTTGGAAGAAGGTGTGGGGGCCACATCCTGATAAACATGGGATCAAGATTACAGAACTGTCCCCTCTGTTTAAAGAAAGCTCACAAAAAAATCACATACCACAAAACTTGAATGGAAGGGTAGAGAGAAGATGCGCTTCAGACAAAGAGAAAAGGTAAAATTTAATTGTAAAGGAATGTTTTAATAAGCTACCTTTTAATTTATTTCTAAATAAGTATTTGAGAACACTGATGCAGAGAAGCCAAAGTGTAAGATCCATACCCCATCGACTTTACTATGCATCTTCTAAAAAAACAGTTGTAAAATTACGTGTTATTAACTATGCATGAGCCTTGTATATTTGCATACTTATTAGCAAAAGTCAAATTGCATTTATTATTTTGTATGTGGTCAGGGAGAAAGAAAATGCCTCTCATGAAAATGGTGCTTCACAGGAGATTTTTGAAGTAATGGCAGTTAATTCAGCAAAGAATTTGTTTCCAACTTTTAAAGACATACTTGGTAGAATGACAAATGTAAGTATATTGTAGTCAAAACTTTGTACACACACTAAATACTGAATTCTAAAATAGTTACTATTGTTTAAATTTATCATCTCTATCAATGCCTGCGGAGGTTTTTTTAAATTTAGAAAGTCTTAAATTTCTGATCTCTGCAAATGCTTGTCCCACTTCTAAACCCCATTTGCAGAGGATGCACAAAAAAGTTCTTGAAAGAGTAGGGAGGTGTGAGTTTTCCTATTTTAACCTTTGACAGACATATACATCAACCTTATTTAGATACGTTCCTTAAAGCCTGCTTGCCATTGTTTTTAGCAGACAAAAAAGATTCACAAGTCACAAGTCAATGCTGCCTGACTATAATGGGGGGGAGGTTGTCATGTTTTTAAAATAATTTATCAATTCAAACTGTCATCCCAGAGTTTCATTTGAATTTTTCTCCAAGAACATTTACATGAAAGTTTTTCATATTTATATTATATGCAGATGAGGAAAAGATGACTTCTTTGCAAGGAGTTCTGGGAAACCTTTTGATTCCAAAGTTTCCACTTTTTTTGTCTTTTTCTTTTTTTTTTTTTTTTAATTATAATATTTATTTATTTATTTATTATGCTAGCATGATGGCTTTGAGGTGAGATTTTGGGGTGCTTGTCAGAAACAAATATTAATGATACCTTATTTCTGTTAGACTGGAAGAGGAACCTCTGTGTTTCGCATACTGTTTAAAGATTACTACAGCACTATTTTTTCTTTTGATATTTCACTTTTAAATGTTGCAATCATTTATTTATTTTTACTATCTGTATTTGAAAGCAGTATCTACATATTAGTAATAAATGTTTGAGGGAGCATTGCGGATCACGTATAATTTCTTGGTTACAATGTTTTAACAGGTTTGTAAACTTTCTACATCAGAAATGATAGTTATTGATACACAAGAGGATCTGCTGGTAAAAGAGTTAACAGCACTCACAACCACCAAAAGACTGTTATGGCTTTTACTTCAAAGAAGAGAACAGAAACACGTAAGATGATCCAAAGCAATCACTAGCTTCCTGTGCCAGGGATCACGTGTCTGTAAATTGCAGGACAGGTTCTGAGTACCTGGACAATGGAGGGAAAGAGGATAGCCCCACATGGAACTGCTTTAAAATAATGGGAATGCAGAGAGATTAAGGAGATGGATGCACCTGGAGAGCCAGGTGGGCCGTGACAGGGTGCAGGAGCTAGTCAGGCAGAGGTAGTTCCAGCTGGAAGAGACCTACTTATTTTAAAAGGATTAAAAGCAGCTGTTCTAATTCCTGATATGGAGTGTAATATGCTTGGGAGAGCAAGCACAGCAGCAGCGTGTGCTAGAATGCAGAGCTTAGAACATGACTGAAGGATTTGCTCTGCCCTTGTTCCATGGCTGGTAATTTCACTGCTGGTGTGTGTGTGATCTGGGATGTCTTATGGTGCTGACTGTCATTCAGAGTTTAGATTATGTCTAATGGCATAAAATGCTGAGTTATCCTGTCTCCTTGGAGGTGTCAGATTCATTCTCTTAGCGGTGGCAGTAAAAAGCTCTGGATGTACAAAGTGGAAGTCCTACTGTTAGTTTTGGTTTATTTATTTAAACGTAGACCTCCTCCAAATTTTATATTTTAAAATGTCTTTGGCAATGTTATAACTACATATATTCTCTTAGATTTATAGTAGCAGCATAAATTGATTTTTCTGTTCTTTTAGGCTGTTTTATGTTTCATTCTTCAAATTTTTATATCTAACTGAAGTTACTGAAAGCCTTTAACAGTTAATATTAGTCTGTAAAGTATTACAGTTTGTACTAATGCTTTTACTGTTTTTGATTATGTGTTCAAATAACATTTAAGCACATAAGATTTTCAGACTACTTTTTTGGTGGAAGAAATAAATTGGCATAGGGAATGACCCTAGTTTGTTTTCCTTCCCTGAGAAGTTTTATGCACTAAGTAAATTGAATCTTTAAAGTTTAAGCTAAATAGCCCATAAGAATGCAAGTTTTAATATTTATATGTACCAAATTGAAAATAAACTAAGTAGTATGCCAAATTTAAAGCAAAGTACTAAATCAATTGTAAACTGAAGTAATTTGTTAACATTTCCTGCTTTTGTCTTGCAGATAGACGGAGAAAACATTGATGCTTTGATACAGAAGTTAAGTGAAAATGAAACCCACAATACTGTAAGTAAACTGAAATATCTGCTACTTTTTTATTCTACATGATACCTTAAGAAGGACTATGCCATGGTATACAGTTTCACATCAGAGTATCATGGGAATACTCTGCTTACTGATACAATTGAACTGTTACTAGCACTTGATTATTGTGAATTTTTAGAAGGGATACGTGCTGGACTTTGGCATCACTTCTGTTACAAAATAGAATGCATCATACATCATTTTGTGTGTAGAGTAGACTCTACTATTGCAGTTACTGTAAATGAAATAAGTATTCCTATACGAAAGTCCTAGTTTTTTTCAACTAGAACTTGTAATTTATTCCTATATTAATGGGCAGAAAATGATCATAACTTCATTAAAATTAGAGAAGACCTCAAAGATTATCTAGCCCAACATCATCAGTAAAAAAAAAAACAACCAAAAAACAAACAAACAAAAAAACCTAAGTAAACAATCCCTTGTATTTCAAAGCCATTCTTTATTTCATCAAACAATATCTGAAATGGACTGAACTAATAAATAAAGCTAAAATAGCAGAGCAGAGAGCTGATATAAAGAGCTGTGTGATTAAAAAATGCATTGAGTTTTGTTCATAAATATTTATTAGGGCTATGTTTATGTTGTATTCATGCATTTTAAAATCTTTGAACAGGTGCTGTGTTCTGTTCATCATTTGTTTTCCTATCATTTTTCCTACCACCTGTTATATTTTTTTTTTTTAGAAAGCAGATTTTTTTCTTTTTTAGAGCAATATAAGAAGTATTTAGAACAATTGGGCATGTATGAAATTGTGAAATATGCTTCAAGTTAAGTCTTAGTGACATGACTCAAGCAAAAGCCTGTTATGGTCTATACAGTTAAAGTAAACATTGATTCATCAGGCCATAGTTTCTGCCATTTTAGAAATGATGGCAGTATTTGTAATGTATCATCACAAAATGGAATCTCAGTCATTTCTAACTGAAATATTTGTCAGTGTGTGCTATTAGGCATGAAAATGTTGGTGGTTTTTTTTTTTTCCCCTTCATGAAGAGTCTCAGGAGAAAGATAGTAGAAAGAGAAGAACACATTAAAGAACTTTCATCTAGGATTCAGCTTAAAAAAGTGAGTGACCAGCTATTTTGGAATAAATGTTTTTTCCCAGTATACTATATTCTTATTTTCTAGTCTACTGTTTTGATGAAAGCATTTATTTCAAAGATCTAGGCGTTAAAAGATGCCTGGAAGACATTTCTGTACATAAAACATCTACACTGTATCCACACCTATTTTGGTTACAAATTTTCCTCAATGCTAATGCCCCACAGTTCTGGGAAGGCCATAAATCCAGACTAAAGGCTTTGGACTTTGAATGCTCTTCTTACCGGTATCTGCAGTAAACACTTGCACTGATACATTAACATTAACTCCAGTCTGTACGAGTAAAATGATTTCCTTCTCTTTTTGTTATTATTTTAAGCAAGCCAGAAGAGTTAAGTTGCAAAAAAATTTCATAGATCAGCTGGCTTTAGTTCTGGTGGGAAGTTGTCTTTCCCCTGCTGTTTATGTAGGCCTTTGAAGTTGAATGATTTAAACGTATCAGTAATTCTTAGATCAATTGGTGATCTTTGGGGTCTAATGAAGGTTAGCTCACATCTAATTATTTAGTGCAGAGCTCATCAGTTTGGCTCAATTTTGATGGACCTGTTATTTATGTACCTTTGTTTAGCCTGGATTTCTGTGTTAGTGCATCCAGGCCCACTTGATCTTACAAAATTAAATTAAATAAGAGATTATAAGTGTACAGATATTCTTTAAATTTTGTGATTTTTTTTTTTGTTAGCTTTCTACAGAAAAGTTGTATTGATAACACTGATAACATCACTAAGAAGCTACTGCCTATGAGTATACTTGTAGACTCTGCTTTATCTATTTCACCTTTTGAGGGAGTTAAAATGATAGTTGGAAATTCTGCAATAAAGTAGTAAGAATAAAGTTTACATCATATAGCATTGTCTCCAGAGACCAGTAAGTCTGTGTTTGTTTCTCTTTCTTAGGTACATGTACTGAAAAACTATCTGTCAAAACCGGTAAATGCAGTTGAAGCTCATCTGCAGTATCAGATTCAAAGAAAAGAAGTGGAAAACAATGAATTAAAGCTGAAAACACAGGTCAACATATTTTTGTTTTAAATTCAAAGGCAAATTAGCAAAGCCCTTCTGTGGGTTTATTTCAAAATTAAGAGTTAAATCTTTTTTAGGTTTGGTAGCTTTGGTCGAATGGAATAAAATATATTATTTCATATATCACTTAAAAGAAAACTTTCTAAGAAAAATCTGAAAAAAAATTTTAAAAATAGCATTTATATTTTTCAATTTATCTTCGTTGTCTTAATTGCGGGTAATTTTCTTCTAATTATTTCAACTTATACAGACCAGTAGTCCTGCTAATGAAATTTAAGCCAACATAGAAGTGTTTGTATTCACCTAATTTTACTATCTGAAAGCCTGATATCTATCCTAGTGAATGTATGGAAACTGCTTAAGGAAGAGAGAGACAAGTCCCAGAATGAGTTTTCCACTGGAAGTTGTTTGAGACAATTGTGACAGACCAACACCTGTTTCTTTTCATAAACTGTGGAGGAATCAATAATCCCCTTAGTACTGGCTTAGCACTGAAATCCTTTTCACTTTTTTTTTTTTTTTTTTAAAAAAAAAAAGGTAAATTTGGGCATTTGCAGCTGATGCTGGTTGTAGAACCACATCAAGGACAAGGTCAGATGGCAGAAAATGGAGTTGAAAGCGGTCTCAGATTTTAGTATTTGAATCCAGTAATGAATATAGGCATAAATGAGAAAACCTTGGCTGCAAAATAATGTTATTAATTTTCAGTTTTTTCTTAGTAGCACACATACCCCTACAAATTATGCGAATTTGAAGTTGCTGAGGAACCTGTTTCAGCTCAATTGCAAGAGAAAAAACCACTTATGTATCACTGTGTTCCTTGTTTTCCAATGAATAAAAATTGATTTCTTGTACTATGTAGCACACTGGTTAGAATTACTTCATTTTCACTAAGTAGTACCTGGAAAAAGTAATTGATGAATAACTGTGTTTTCATTGAATCTTTGTATAAAATTGTTGTTTGTTTCTTTTACAATCAGTTGACAGCTAAAATCCTGTAGATGATTTTGTTACTACTTAGGAAAAAGATTGGAGTAGCTCACAAAATTAATTCACCTTTTAAATTCAGTCTTGGTCACTGAATAATGCCCAAAGCACTCTTTATTATGTGATTCTGACCCCCTGTGGTTGTAACAGGAGATAACAGTTATTTACTGAAATCAGTAGTTAAGGAAAACTGTGCATAGACTCAAATTTTTCAGTTTCTCTATTCACTGAAGTTGTTTTTCCTGCAAGTCATGTGTTTTATGTAAAAACTATTTCCTGCGTATATTTATATGCAGAGAGACAAAGAGCTGTTGGAATGCATCTAGAGAAGGGCTACAATAATGATCCCAGGGTTGGAACACCCCTCCTATGAGGGCAGGCTGAGAGAGCTGTGACTGTTCAGCCTGGAAAAGAGTAGGCACTGAGATGACCTGATAGCGGCCTTTCTTTATCTAATGGGGAGCTACAAGAAAGAAGGGGCAGACTTGTTAGCAGGGTGGTAGAATGAGGGGAAATGACTAAGCTTGAGGAGGGTAGCTTTAGGTTGGAAATGAAGAAAAAGTCTTTTACAGTTAGGGTGGTGAGGCACTGGAATGGATTACCTAGTGTTATGGTTGGTGTCTTGTTCCTGGAGACTTCCAAGGCAAGGCTGGGTGAAGCCCTTGGCAACCTGATCTAGCTGTGATGTCCTTGTTCACGGCAGGGCAGTGGGACTAAATCCTAGTAAGCCAAGATCTAAGACTAAATCCTAGTAAACCACTTTTCACATGGCAAACTGTGTAAATTTTCCATTGATTGTGGATAAGCTTTTGGAGTCATTAGCAGCAACTGTACTGGCAGATAGCATCTAATGCGTAATATGTGCATTTTATAGCAACTGGTAGATAAATCTGGCAGATTAACATGGTTACTAGGTAAATGGTGTGCTGTTTTGGTCTTTCATGTTAGACCCAGAATCAACTATTAAAAAAAAACAAAAAAACATTTCTAATCATTCTTACAGTTAGGATATTTATCAGTGACTTGAGGAAAAAAATTATATTACTGGTGTATATACACTTCTGAAGCTTGGCAAAAGAATAGCAAGTGAGATGAATGGAACTTGCACTTTTCTTTATGATAAGTTACTGACAACCACTAGCTTGTGCATGTTTTTGGCAAGGTACAGAACCTTTAAAAATAATTGTATCTGAAATTCTTGAAGAAGAATCCAGTGTGGATTTTATCGCTTATGTATACAGCATATATATACAATATACACAAGACATAAGAAACTCTTAGAAAAAGTTTGTTTGCTAGACAATTCTATTTCATTTTTAGAATGGTACCATTATATGCATGAGAAAAAGTTAAATCTTGCATGAAAAGGGTAAATTGTCATTTGATAACAGATTATAACACGGTGCATATATTAAGAAAAGTACCTTGTTCTTTCCTGTCTTCTTGACTTAAAATACTCAAAACCTGACTTTCATGTTAAAATTTCATTTACAGTTTTACTGATCTTCAGTCCTAGCCATGTGCTTGCTCACTATAGATTCAGAGCATAGACTACATCAATTTACATCACTAGTAACATAAGGTGATATTCATAAAAATGAATAACTAGGTGCTGGTGTAAGCACTCTAATTTCCCATCTTAAGAATGGGTTTAGTGTCAGTGCTGTGTCATCTGCAGAAATTTTGCATTCATTTCAAAGAACATGTGGTGTGGTTAGACTGATGTCTTTCCCCCTGCTTCTGCTGCTTTCTGTTTGTACGCCTCCTCAACCTCTTATCTCGCTTATCTTTGTAACAAATTTCCCTACATGTAATTTCTCTTGCCTCGTGTAGCACAAATGTTGACTAACTCCTTGTGCCAACCAGAAGATTTCAGATACAGAGATATTAATGGAAAAAGGTTATAAATGCAATTACCATTCTTCATTATGATAACTCAGAGACAGAATTATAAGGTTGATGTTTAAATATGCTGCAGACTCTAGAGAAGAAAATAGCAGAGTGGAAACTTCAAATTGAGGACTACAAGCATCAGATGGTGGCCTTGAGGGAAACAAGTGAGCAAAAGAAGGCTGATCTGAGAAGAGCAATCAGGTCCCAGAAACAAAAAACTGAATGCTTTGAAGAAGCTGTGGAAAATTTAACCTCCAGAGTAAGAGAACGTGTGAGTGATTACACTGACCAGTGTTGTCCTGCATTAAATTGAGTAATTGGGAAAATTTTGCCTCTGTAAAATAGGAAAGTTTGTTGTTGGATTGTTTGTGTTTTTATTCCTCAGTTAAGGAAAAGCTTGCTGTAAGAGACATGCAATCCATTCTCGTATTCACAGTTTTTCGTTTTGTTAAAATTTAGGGAATGTCTTCAGGCAGTTGTACGCTTCATAGTAAATAAGTGGAGTCTGATCAGCTTCTTTTATGCATCTTCTGATTTTTCTTAGACCTCTGTGGAGCTACAGCTAAGCTCAAAAGAATGATATGTTGTCAGATAAGAATTGGGGTTGAAGTCTTGGTTTCCTTTGTTTATTAGCTTATGGTGTCCAGTACTGATGCTTAGCTTTCTATTTCTAAGCTGCTTGCTTTGAGCTTTTAAAATATTCAAGCACCTGACTTCAAATTGTTGGGTGGCTTCTGCCTTGCCCTTTACCTGTGTGCAGTGTGTAATTTTTGGAAAAAATGGATCAGGACTGCACTGAGACCTCTGACAACTTATTTAGATTTCCTAATAAGAGCGTTATCAGAATTTCTGTGCATTGCCATTGTTTAGGATTTGCCTCTATTAAGGATATTTCTCCAGTCAGTATATCTGGATGCGATTAATAATTTGTTTTGATCTTTGTAAGAAGTTACATTTAGCAGCACAGAGGAGTAGCATTTGCTTATCTCCTGAACTGATAGTGTTTTGCAGTTGTACTGTTATTTTCTTTCCATTAAGGACCTCATTTACTGTCAAGATAGTACGTTGGTAACTGCTAGAAACCTTGCATTTCTTATATAGCTGTGTATTTTTTAATTCTAGAAATGCTTTGACAGAATTTTATTTTGGTATTAGCTTATATGTTTTATATGTAGAAGAGATATTTTGGAGGCATTTTTGTTTTAAGAAGTATTTCATCTTAAATAATGGTACATTCTGAAGTTGCTATATAATACCTGTGTTGAACTGTGTCTATACTTTGAAAGTAAGTTTGTATTTCACTTTAACTTTTTAAAATGTGGGTTGTTTATTGGTTCTCTATTTGAGATAATAAGACAAAATTTACATTGCTTTGTGCTATAGATCTCCAATAAATAGCTCTTGTTTAGAAGATTTTGTAGAATTAGATGGTGCTCCTTATGGCATCTTTACGATACGTGATTTGTAATTAATGTATTCTGTAGGAAGTGAAATTGTCTGAGATCCTGTCAGCTTCCAATCTCTGGAAAAAACAGCATGATAGAATGGTAGAAGAAAAGACAGCATTAGCAGTTCAGACAGAAGACCTAAAGAAGTAAGTTAAACTGGTGGAGATCTAATTCATTTTCTGCAGTCACAGAAATTTGGTATTTAGTAGCATGTTAGTATTGACAATGCAAGCAATTGTATGTACTCGTATTAAAATTCTGAGCAGAACTTAGCAGCTAGAAACCAGAACAAGTTTTAGAATTCTAGCTTCATTTCACAAGTTGTTTTGTTGTTTGTTTTTTAAATAACTCCTCTATAGAAGCAAGGAACTTGCTACTTCCCCTGCATAGTTTCTTTCAGCTGGAGCTTGCTAGAGATTATTGTGCTGTTTCACAGAATCATTTATTTAATCATTCAACAGCTTGAGTCTTAACCCTTGCATCTGTTGCAACATAAAAATGTCTTATTTGGGCTTCCAGGCTGTACTGCAGACTAATGGCAGCAAAATCATTTTGGTCCCGCTAATATCTCACTCCTCCTAGGACAGAGTTCCTCACAGATGCACATTTGAACAGTTTCCTCATGTCTGAAAAAGCAAGACAAAACTGCCCAATCTTACTCAAGCAGTGAAATGTAGATGAAGAATATGCCATGTTTTTCAGACAATGACAGTTATCTTATAACATATCCTTTAATATGGGCTCTAATTTTAAAAAGCAAAAGAAACCAGTAAGTGCTTTTAAGTAAGGCTTGGACTAACGCAGAATGCTTATTTTATAAAGATCTTGATTCATACTCAAATACATAAATTAAATTGGCTTGACTACTTGATTTTTGTTTCAGAAAATCTGTTATTTCTAAAAATATTTTCAGCATATTTTAAAATTTCGCAGGAGTACAGGTAAATGATGTGAGGCTGAAAATCTGTCTAGGCAGCTATGGTCTACTGTATATGCATAGGCATCTAGGAAACAAGAGGAAAAAGAAAACATCTATGATACTTTCTTCGAGTGCTCTTATTACTCACTGCTGTTTTTTTTTTGCCATTTGTATTTGAACTGGAAATACAAGTCTGTATTGAAATGTACAGTTCTATCAAGACCTGTGGTACCATATGACTACCTGAAGAGTGAAATAACTCTCACTGCTTAACTTCATTAACATAAAAAAAATGTGAGGAACAAATGGCAAATTGTTTTTAATAATGGAAAGCACTATTCCTGAAGTAACATGAAATGCACTTATTAGGACATTGTCTGATAGACTTCTTTAAATTCAGTATTTTTTATTTTTTTTTACAGTAGATACATGCATATTTGCCTTGGAAGTACACCTGTGTGTTCTAGGTAATACATTTATTTACAACTGAGCTAGGTCTACTTTGTTGTTGGATCACATCTCTTTTTGAAAAAAAACTATGTTTCAACGGGTAGTGCTTTCTTTAGATGTTTAAATGTGTTCTCCCACGTATTTATTTATTTTTCTTGTATGAAATAAGAGCAATGAAGTACTTCGTCCTAAGGAACAATTTGATTTGCATAGCAAGAATTGTGGGAACATTGTATGTTACATGGAATTTTTTGCTATCCAACAAGGCAGATCACAAGCCTTTCTGAAGACCTGGAAAGAAAGGAGGAATTCAGAAGAAAAACTAGTGAGGAAATTCTTGGAAAGCTAAATTCTGTTAACTCTGAAAATGAGAAGATTTATCTTGAAAATGAAAAATTAAAGGTGAGATTACTATAAATCACTCAGGAATGGCTTTGCATTTCTGATGCATTTACAGATTAACCCCTTTAATTTGCTTTTGTTGTTCTGTCTGGAGATCCCAAACTTGCAGAATAAATGTTGTCATCCATTTTTTTTAATAGTAAGTGGAATGAGGTGTTAAAAATTCATCAGTGGGAATCTATGGCAAAGCCAGGAACAGGATTTTCTAGTCATTCTATTTAACCAGGATGTCACTTGTTTTACAGTCAGTAGATATAAAATTGCTTTCCTGGAAATTATTCTCTTTAGTATAAAACAAATTTTCACAAACACAAGAATTGAATTTATTTTGATTACTGATACAATTTAAAAAAAAAAAATTTCCAGGTTTTGTATGTATTCATCTTCCAAAGTAAATGTTCTTACACGCTGATTAATGAGCTGTGGACTGTCGTTTCTTATAAGTAATTGTTACTACTTTTTTATTTCTTCAGGTCACTTGATATTAATATATTGTAGATTGAGTTGTTTTAATCATATAGAATCATAGAATGGCCTGGATTGAAAGGGACTTCAAAGATCACCTAGTTTCAACCCCCCTGCTATGTGCAGGGTTGCCAACCCGTAGACCAGGCTGCCCAGAGCCACATCCAGCCTGGCCTTGAATGCCTCTAGAGATAGGGCATCCACAGCCTCCTTGGGCAACCTGTTAATGCCTTTCATTGTTGCTTTTTATTTTTCCTTCCCATGTTTTAATCAAGGCTTCCCTTGCTGCTTTGGAAGTCAGTAATATTTCTGTAGAAAATGACCTGCTACGTCTGCAAGAAAAGACCAAGCTACAGGAAAATGTTGTTGAACACTATAAAAATCAGGTGAATAGCATATTGAAATGTTCAAACGTAAGTTTTAAATCTATAAAACGTTTTGAATAAATCATAAAGGTTTTATTTGTAATAAAACATATTTTTTGTCATGATGATTATAATAGTTGTCTAACACTGAGAATGATAGAAGCAATGCTAGTAGTTTTATTTTTCTAGATTAAAAAAAAAATGGTAAAAATATGTTGTGTCCTAGGTACAAGAATTACAAGCAGAAGTGAAAGTACTGAAATTCAGGTATAAAACAGTCTTCAGTGAAAACAAAAGTATAAGGGAAAGCAAATGCTTAGAAGGCTATGAGGTAAGCAGTAATATAGCATGTTCCCAAACAGTTCTGCAGGATGTTGATCCTACAGATGTTACTGCAATCCACTTAATAGAAGTAACAAGGTACTGGCTCTTTATTTTTCCACGTTAAATCTGATTTTAATGCACTGAGTGCTTTACTAACTTTTGAGTGGCTGTTTTTAGGGTACTACACAACTGCAAGTAGCTAGGAAGAAAACAATTCAAAGACAAATGACTAAGGGGTTGGACTGCTATCTTAGAGTTCGTTCCATTCACTGTTTTAAAAAATATAGTTTTGCTGATGATTTTTGAACTACATCTCTTGGCAGAGCATCTATGAAAGTTGTGTAGGGGGAAAAAAGCCCACTGCAAGACTGTTCAGTGGTATAAGTTCAATTTATGTAGCAGTCAAAAGCAAGAACCAATACAGAGACAAGTTTTAAGTTTTTTCAGCAGGTGGAGCTGAATACTGGAACATGGTTGGGCTTTCTTAGGCATCAGAAAGCATCATAGAAAAGCAGCAGGAAAATGACTTTCCTTGGTTTCGCTGCTCATAACATTGCATATACTTTTAAGCAGGGCTGAAACGGTCAGGTTTTCAATTGCCTGCTGTGGTTTTAGAGAATAGAATTAGTTCTCAAAAAAAGTACCTCATATGTTCATTTTATTTTATACTCATTATTTTCCTTGATTCATCAATGGAGAAAAATATTTTCTGGTCCCACAAATAATATTTGTGCGGCATTGTATGCAGCTTTAGGTGGCATCAGTTGTTGTCTTTTCAAATACTGCAGAACACGTTTAGCTAGAATTTTTCCCATAAGCTGCTGTTGGCATGCAATTTTCTACAGTTTATTATGATAAAAATCAAAATTTGGGTGTTGCTAATGCTTGTTTAATTTTGTGAATGTTCATTATCAGTGTTACTGAGTCTCCAACCACAGGTCATAAGAGAAAACTGTGCAATGAACCTGTCACTTTGGGTTTTCTGATGTAACAGATGACACTATGCAACTTATGTAGAATTTTAGATGTACTACTTTTGTGGAAATCTGTTAGGTATCATAACAGTTAGTTTATGGCTTTAGACTTGCATTTTTCTACTGTGATGATACTGTGCAGGTGAGGGACAGAACAGAGCCTAAGTTGAAGGTGTTAGAACTTGTTTGTGGTTTACTGAAAGCAGCTGAAGGAAATCTGAGGATTTCAAGAAAATCTTGTGTACTGGGAAAGGATCAACAGAAATGCAAAACTCTCAGGGAGCCACAGGTTTGGGTGCTTTGTATGTCCAAGTTTTTAAAGATAAATGGGGAAATTATATAGAAGAAAGCCTCCAGAATATTTTTTCCTATTAGTGCTTATGATAGGTTGTTTCCTTTGTTTGCTTCATAAATCAGAAGCTGAGAAAGTATTGCCGAGTGTATTTATGTTCGTGCAGTATGGAAGAAGAAATTCTAGTTATTTGTTCTTTTCTATTTTGTATCCTTAATCTAATATATTCTGTGTCCTTTCGGATAGCCATGTGCTGATAAGACTTTCAGAATTCTTCTCTGGAAATAAACATGCAAATCTAATTATTGTTTATATCTTGTGGATTAATTTAGTGCTATGTTTGTTTTGTTTTTTTTTTAATGACTAATTCATAAACCAGGCAATATCTGCTCTGAAAAATAGCTATGCATTTTATTTTTATGATTTTAATGAATACATTATAAAGATGGATGAAAAGAAATGAATTATCTGCTTTAAGAAAACATTTTCTACTTTTAGCAGCCTGTTAACGCTGCTGCTTTTATTTTCCTTAAGGCCTGAATCTAAAAGTTTCTTAGCATTCTTTAGCCGTGGCATCCATTTCTCTGGTTTGGGCTTTTTTTCCTCTTTTTGTTTTGTTTTATTGTGCTTTGGGTTGGAAGAGAATAATTTGCTAGCACAAATGACACAGGCGTTTGAATCAGTAGGGTGGGAAAAAAGTTTAACCTTCCTGTGTGTGGAAGACATGCTGACTTCAGCTGAAACACAGTGAATCTCTGTGTCTCTACATGCTTTATTCTTTAAAATGTAGATCTTGATTTTCTTTTCCAATTTCCTGTCATTATCATCATTATAGCATCAAAATTTGCTTGTTTCTGTCATTATAAATACTTGTTTCAGAAGCTCATAATTCCATCTTTGCCTAGTGAATTACTTAAGCAATGATTAGTTTTGAGGTGCACGTACAAAATTGCTTGTATTTTTTAATTTTATTACCTCTTTTTATGAATAAATTAAAAAAAATTCTCCTGAGTATAGTGAAATAATTGGGGAATATAACAACTAGTCTAGCAAATAGCAGTTAAATTTTGGCAGTAAATCTTGGTTATCTCCTTTAGATATTCTAATCATATGATTAGATTTTAGGGAAATTCCTTCTGAAGAAACTGGAACACGTGCAGAAGCCCTTTTCTGGGCTCATCAGGACCAGAACATCTTATTGTTATTCACAGCTTAATAATAACAGCTTATTGTCCTTCTGCTGAAAGTGTATTTTAGTATCAGTCTGTTAATAGAAAGCCTATAATTATATAAGCAAACTCAGCCATGTTTGCTCAAGTTTCTGAATGCAACTGCTTGATGTAGTCCAGTAAATGATGGAGACTGTCCTTAAATCATGGTGCCAGAATGGAAATGTGGCCATTTACTGCTAATATCATGCTGATGGATGGTAGCAAGAGCAATAATCTCATTGGTACTGTTCCCAAGATTTAAATGTAAGCATGTAAAAGTTTGTCAGTCTGGATACTGAGTAGGGGTAGGACAGTTTGGCTTCTTGTTGTTTTCAGTCGCTTCTTATGAACTCAGCTGCCTTTTTTGATTATACATAATACTGTCAGAAATTCTTTGTCAGTGCAACCCTGTTTTTCCATAATAATTGTGTGTATATATATACTGTATCATTTTTATGGCTCCTGTGATTGTAGTGGTGAGGAAACTTATTCTTGCTGGAGCCTAAAGCCTAAGTTCACAAGGACGTAGACATGGCCAACTCTTCATACACAAGGTTACATGAGCAGCATATGTGGTTCATTAGGACTTCACTTTGTTACACAGCATATCTTCAGTCTTAAGTGTTCACAGAAATTTCTAGTGTTTTATTTTTTTCAATAGCCTGAGTATAAGATGTGAACTCAAAACTAGATTGATTGGATTGTATTAGGCATACTTAATTTACTTTCTGATATCTTTCACATAAGTCCTTCAACAAGAAAGGAATTGTTATCTGTACAGGAGGAAGATGGTGTGAATTCTGTGGGTAATCGTTCCCTGGAAGAAGAAAACAGTAACATTCAGAAGAAATATGAACATCTTAAAAGGTAATTCTTAAAAAAAAATCAGACTGACTGATTTGTGCTATTACACTGTACTGAAATTTAACACATTAAACTCTTTTGCACAAAGGATGCTAGAAAAGATGGAATTTCAAAATGAAGAACTTGCATATCTGATCAGAAAAGAAGATGAGAGCCTTCAGTGCAGTAAATTGCAGCTTGAGGAGAAAATTGCGGAGTATAATAGTTTAACCAAACAACTGGAATCTGCTTGGAAGGAAGGAAGAAAAATGGTACTGATGGTTTAATACAGCTCTTAGCTTTGATTGCAATTTTCTACTTGAAAATGACATTAAAAGAATAAATATGCTTGGGAAGAAAAATGGGACAAGATTATTTGCTTACAGGGAACGATACTAGAAGTTGCTTGGAATTCTATTGAAATGTGAATTGCACCATTCAGTATCTTTGTAGAATTAAAAACCTATTGAAATTAATGACAAAGTTCAGTGGACCAACATTTCTTCATCATTTCTGTGACAAATCAAAATGCTTTAACCAACATTGAGTTGCTTAGGTTAAATCCCACACAATGGAATTTTCTTGTTTTCTTTGCAATAACTGGTCCACAAGAACTTAGTGCTGAAATCTTTCTAATCTTAGAGCAAGAATTTGCATGCATTTAATATTAAGCAAAGATTTATTATTAACACAAAGGATGTGGACACTTCTTCAAATGGAGAAGAAAATGAAGTAATTTAGATTTCAGTGCATTGTATTGTTTAATATTAAAATAGGTATGAGGCTGTAATTTCGATCTCAGATTAATCATGCATGGAAAAAGTGGTGTTATTTTTCTCAATGCTATGTGAGTATAATTTGGTTTTTTTTTTTTTTTTTAAAAAAAAGAGTTGGAATACCTGTATACATGTGTTGCAAAATGTGCTCCCTCTTGTAAATATATAATTTTTTTCAAACTGAAACTTCATTCAGATTCAGGCAGAAGTTTCCAGGTTTATATATTTTTTGTGTATGGGAAATAGCTGAAATGTTAAATGATGGAATGGGGAAATATCCCTATTAATGCTAAGGTACAAGAAAATGATTTGATTTAGGGTTTAAATATAAGTGAACGTATTTCTCTCTCATGGGAATTTAGGTGGCTGAAGAATTTGAAAAAATGTCCAACTTAGAGCAAGCCCTTCAGACAAAAATGCTCGTTCTTGAAAATGAAGTGAGAGAGAGGCAGGAGGAGAAAGAAGAACTTCTCTGTGTGCTTAAGCATGTGAGTAAAGAATATTGTTTATGACTTAAACTGTCACATCATCATTTTCATAAGGTTTCTTTCACTGAAAACCAAACTTTTAACACAATTGATTAATAATTAATACAATTAATTAATACAAAAAGTGTGCTGAGGAACGTAAATTATTTAAACTTGACAATATATTTACAATATATTTTGTCTATTGACACTTTTAGCAGGTTTAACAAATGCCCAGTTTATCTTACTAAATAACTGGAATAACACTGAGCTTATATTTCTTATTCAGGCCAGTTTTCCAACAAAATAAAAATCATAAAGTAGGTATGAAACTAATTTCTCTCTCAGATAACTTGTTTTCATTAAGCATAACTGTATCTGAGAAAATGTTTCATAACAACATGGTATCTTTTTTTTCCCCTTTCTGTCTGTCCGTCTTTTTTTTTTCCTGCCTTGATTAAAAACCTCTTACCATGCAGGAATATATGCAAAGCTTTCAGTTGTATACTGATGTTGTGGTGGTTGGTAGCAGAAAAGGACTGTTTTGTTTTTTCAAAGAGACAAGATGTTAAATATCCAGGCTTTGGTATGTAGATGCTTACCTTCTTAACTCGTGGTTCTGCTAAATGGGTGATACTCTCTGAAAGCCAAAAAACAAAGAAGGATGGAAGGGGTTTGCTACATCCAATCTGTTCTTTCAACTAATCCAGGAAATCTCAACACATTTTCTACTAATAATGACTTTGATTGAAGTTTTGATAGACATTTGTCCAACAATCAGTGACAATAAGCTACAAGCTCTTTACAATAAATAAGAGACAATACATGACATTATCATTCTTAGATCCTCAAAAACATGATTCTGTACTCTGACTTGAAGTGTTCAAAATTGAAATCACAGACCAAAATTAGTGCAAATTCTCTTAAAGGTTCAAATAATGCATCAGAAATACTGTTCTGCATTTGGTATGCTCTTATTTTTATCTCCATTGAGTATAATTCAACTAATAATTGCATTTACACTAAGATAAAAACATTAAAACAAAGTCAGAAATTGGCTAGTAATTTACACAGTTTCAAATATTTTTTTTCATAGTAATTTCTTACTATGCTACTGTTAAATAAAAAATTAAGGAAATTTTCTTGTCTTTCGGCCCAGAAAGTCTCAACTGCTGAACAGGAGTATGAAATTTAATAATACTTAGCAAGTAAATAACCATAATATCCTTTTTTGTTAAGAAGTAAATTGAGTGTCATTCTATAATGAGGTGCATTAATATTGAACATACAAATAATCTGTTTCTTTGGGGAGGTTAGCCTCTATTATCCAAGGTCTTTTTTGGATTATAAACGTATTCAAGCATGTTCAGTTTGGTTTTGGCTGGACATAAGCAAGGCTTCTATACCTTGAGGTCCTTTTGAGTTTCTCAAGTTTGTAAAGCCTCTGAAAACTTTAATGGATAAATAAGGCCTCTAAAATGTAGGTACTAACTCTATTACACTGTTATTTGATTTGCGTTTTATCTCTAAGTTGTTGCCTTTCTTTTTACTCTTTAGGATGAAAAGCACCATGAGATACACTTGAAAGAGCTGGAAGACAGCCTACAAAGGTTAGAAAACGAGAACCAGAGCATCCAGAATTATGTGCAGTTTTTGAAAACCTCATACATAACAATGTTTGGCTGAATTCTGTAACTTCATTTATTTTAATAATAAAGAAACAGTACCAGATTTGGCTCTGACTCTTATGGAATTTTGTGGGATTGAGCACTGTAGCTTTAGTTCTATTCTGAGAAAACTTCTGCTATGGGTCTAGATACACAGATTATTATTGTATATTCTACTGGCTGATGACATAGAGAATATTTATGTGGCATTACTGATGGAAATGATTGTAATATTCACAGAAGTGAATAAAGTGAAAAGGCAGACTGCACGATAGTAGTGAAAGGTGTGTAAGTGTAGGATATGCATACAAAATTGGTCTGTATATGACCACATTTCAGATCAAATGCTATAAATTTTTGTCTCTCCTTTCAGTCCATGGTAAATGCAGATACATGCTACCTGCCCAAGATGATGGCATCCATTATATTAAGACAAGGAATTTAGAAAGCATTAGGTTTCCTTCCTTTCTTCCCCCTAGTGCTTACTGCACTGCATGAAATGGTTGCAGCCAGTTATCTCATCCAGATTTTGTCTTACATCTCATTCTGAAGAGGAGTATATCTATCTTACAATAATTAGGTAATATGCAATAATTAGGAAAGTATTTCAAGTACAGATATAAATATAGCTCTGAATGTGTTGATAGTGTCAGAGTGACGCAGCACTGGAACAGGCCGCCCAGAGAAGTGGTGGAGTCGTCGTATTCAGTTGATATGGGGCTAATATAAAGAAAAAAAAAAAAAACCAAAAAAAAAAACAGCAAAACACAATTCTGATTCATGAAGTAACTGTTTATATGAATATAGAGAGAAACATACGCTTATAGAACTGTTAATGCGTCGTTTCAGAAGCAGTACCTTTAGGTAAGTATATGTGATTCAGAATTCGTATTTTAGAAATATTTATTTTTGACTGGAAACATAACTTGGTGTATGCATGCTATGTTTGCTTTGCATAGTATTTTGTTGTTATTTATGTGCAGAATGTTGATGCTCTTTCTTCATTATTTTACAAATGTTTGTTTATCCTAACAAATACTGCTATCTGATAGTAATTTTCTTGTATTCAAGTCTTTTTATAAAACTACAACTTATGTGAGATCTGCTGATAGCAAATCTTCCTGTAACATTTTTGGTTTTTGCATTTCACTCTTCAGTCATGCCAGTTTGTCTGGAAGAGGATCACTGCTTTTTTACAATTCTGGAATGTATTTCATTATACCATGTCATAGCTCTATTATTGAGCTATTTGGAATAGCCTAAAGAGAGAATAACACATCAGGTCAAAATACTTAGTGCAGTTCTAGTTCACTTAGAAAATTCAATTTATAATAAAAAATAATTAAAAACTGTATGGTATAGTTTGTCAGCACTTTGTATACTGTTCTGTGTTTCCCCACACGAGGATTTCAGGGTTATCAAGAACAAGGTGCTTTGAGGTTGATTAAATTCACTTTCTAGCTAGTGAATTTCAATATTCAGTTGGAGCTTGGGAGCTTCAGTTAGAATTAAGTGCAAGCACTATCCTGAAGCTAATAGGCCTTTAAGAGCTGAGCTGAACTCACAGCTCCTGCAATTCTTTATTGGTGATAAAATGTAGGGTAGCATATCAGTGCCTATGTGCTGTTTTCGAGAAAGAAAGTATTTGGGGAAGAAGATTATTGTTTTACTGTATGCTTTAGATGTATTAATGTATGGGAATGCACAAATTAAAACAGAAGCATAGATCTTTGGGCTTCTTGGGGCCCTATTCTCTTAAATCCTATATGTTCATTAGCTTATTACTAGAGGATTAAAGCTGATTTAAGAACTTTATCTTTTTCCCAACTACGGCACAAAAACTGCTGTAAGTTCTGTTATAAGGTGGGCACTTTGCAGTAAGACAAGAGAATCTCAGACTTTTCTCTGGATACTTGTATCCTTAAGGAATGTCTGTGTAGAAGATAGCAATTATTGGATATCAGTGGCTCTAAGTGGTGCATTTGATCTGAGTAGTGAATAGTGAATGAATTCTACACTTGGATTTTTGTTAACAAGAAAATCAAGTAGGAACTGTTAACATGCAGCTTTGAACATCATCTACTAGAACTGAGTCCATCATTTTGCTTTGGAAATGAGCAAGAGTAGAATTGTTCTGACAAAATCACTTTGGTGTCTTCTTACAGGAAAAGTGACCTGTGACCCAGCCTCCTTCACTGACAGACTGTTCAGTGGTATAAGAACTGTGTACAGCCCTCACTGTGCTGGAGCCTTAGAGCTAGCCAGCACAAACAGAGATCAAAGCAGGGCATCCAAGGAGGGGATTGCACGAGAGCACAAAGAAGACACAATGATTTCAGGCAGATTTCTTTTTGTTTTTGTTGAAAATCTTCCTGCAGATTGTTTTAAGGCTGATATAGGCTGTGCACGTTCTATAAGGCCAGAGAGGGGTGAAAGTATGATGTTGATGTCCACTGATGAGGAATTTAAGCAGTCAAAAATGTGGCTTCACTGTAATCACACAGGTCACCCTGCTACACGCTTGGCTTCAGTGTATTTTCTTCTGAACTCGCGGCTTCACTTAGTAGTAAGGCTTCCAAACACTTGAAGATAGGGCCTATTTTATATTACCATCCACATCTGTCTACATATTTCACTCAGGATTCTTAATGTAAAGTCATTGACTTGCAATCTTCTGCAACTACAAACAGTCCAAGCAAGTGGTTCCCATGCAGGTAATTCTGTTTGTACTAATAACAATAGTATTTTTTCTCTCCAGAAAGCAAATGATGTATAAACAGACCCTTTTTGTTTAGGTGTTTGATAGAATGGATCAAATATGTGATTAGCGTATCATTTTATGACCGATTAATTCATTGAAAAGGGATAGTAAAAAGGATGTTTTAAGTGTAAGACTGCCACTTATGGCAGAGTAGACATGGCATTTGTTGTGTATAGAGCCATACCTTCACAATTATTGAAAACATAAATATTTAATATGCCACTATTTCCTTTGAAAATTGAAACTAAGCCATAATGGTTAAGTCTGACATGCTTCTCAACCATTTCACTCTTTAAAAGATCTTTAACATCTAATTTCCAGAGCAGCTGTTATACATACAGAAACCATCTCCGGATCTCCCATCACCATTTTAGGCATGCTGAGCCCTTTTTCATTATCATGGTGACCACGTTCCTATTCTTAGTAAAGCTGCTTTGCAGAGAAGCAGCACGCTCTGCTGGGGCAGCAATCCACTTACTAATTTACAACTCCACCCACTAAATGCTACTTTGAATTATAAACTACCAAAGGGAGGCATATTTTTAACAGCCTCAATTTTTACGATCATGACTTATAGAAGTCAATGATGTTTTTGAACTGCACAAATGCTAAGTTGTCATTCCAGGTTATTTGCAGAACATTGGCTGTTCTTTCACAGTAAGGTTTTCCTCCCTCTCTTCACTCGAGAAATTCAGTGCACCAGGGTACTGCAAAATGCGTACCAATAATTCATTATTTTTTTAGAGAATATAAATCCTAGGATATCTGAAGAAGGACCTCAGCCTAGAAGCTTTCAATTCCTGTGAAAATTCTTTGCCGGAGTACAGGCAAGCTTTCCTGACTCTGTCCTGAGCTTTATTTCCAATTTGTTTCTGAATTTCTAATCACAGAGTAGGATATCTGTTTTCTGATTCATTAGCATGATGAGGCACTGGAACACGCTGCCCAGAGAAGCTGTGGATACCCCCATTCCTGGAGGCATTCAAGGCCAGGTTGGATAGGGTCATGGGAAGCCTGCATGTGGCAACTGGGTTGGAATTAAATGAACTTCAAGATCCCTTTCAACCCAAGCCATTCTATGATTCTACAAATCGCATAAAACATAGTAATGACATGAAAAGATGTTTACATCTTGCAGTTTAGTGTTGGATTTTTTTTTATGCTTAAATTGGATTGTGTAGTAGCAGGTAATTTGGGTGCAATTTGCTAGAGAAAGTTTCTCCAGCAGCTCCTGGCTTCCATTTTTTTATGAAATCCCAAAGCTTGACTACAGAAAAGCATTCTTGCTCTGGAAGGCAAGGATGGTGGCTCTATATAAGGTTCAGGAGGATCAGAATTAGCGCTCTGTAGGTGGCAGCCTGACCACCAATATGTTGGTAAGAACAATCTAAAAAGAGGAAACTGGATTTCTCTGCAATTAAGTGAAAGCTGAATGATCAGGTTTGTCTTGCAAGAATTTTTAATCCTAGTTTTTAAAAAACTGGGTTGTTTTTCAAATTTAAATAATGTTCCTACTTTTGTTGTTGTCCAGTTTTGCTAGGGTTTTGGCTTAGGAGGAACTTTACAAAGGTATTTCTGAATAGGCAGAATCTTCTGGTTGCTGTACCAAGAAAAAAATTGAGTTCAAGTTCTGAAAGTGGAGAGTTCACATAATTGTTCTGATGTCTGCTGAGGATGTTCCAAACCTTAATAATTTGACACATTTATACTCCAGCACTGACACATTCTATCAAATTTATGTGACTTGGAAATTGGTATTTAAATTCTTCTTTGCATACTTATATTTCATGAGAGTTTTCCTGACAAAACATTCAGAGATTATATTCTTGCTGATAACTTCTCTTTCTTTATGCTCATATAATAATGGAGAAGAAATGTGGTTGCCTCCTAATGACGTGCTTCAAGTTATTAGTCTTAAAGAGGGCGAAAGTTTATTTTTATTGTAACTATTACCATTTGGGTTAATATTGCTTTATAATAGTGAACCTTGCAGAACCTTCAACCTGCTCATCACGCATAAGTTCCCAAAGTGTGAAGAGATAGATCTAAGTGCTGTACGAGTGAATGAAGTATTAAAAAGTTGGCACAAAATTGCCACATTTGATTCCAGATTTTAATAATTTAACATCTACTTTTGTCTGGGATTATGTAAATGAGATACTTCCAGCATAATTGTGAAGACTCATACTTGTAGAGTTCTGTGAAAGAGTAGATGGATTAGAGAAATCCTCCCAAGGTGAATGTCCAAGCTTTATTTACATATTTCTTATTTTGTATGAATGTATAAATAGGTGAT